ATATATATATATATATATATATATATATATATATCCTATATATTATAATGTATATTATATATCATTTATTGTATATTATATATTATATATTGTATACTATGTATTATATACATTTATTTATTTACTCATTCATTAATTTATTGTATGTTTATTATATGTATACATACAACAGGGTATACTGCAAGTAATTAGGTGATTAGGGGAAAAAAAAAAAGAAATGAAAAGAATTAAATTCTACTTTCTCTTCCTTCCTATATTTTTCTGACTATCACAATCGCTTTGCAATAGTCGCATAGATTGATTTTTTAAATTATTGAAGGGGGGGGAAAAAAAAAGAAAAGCATTAAAAAATAAACAGATAAATTAAAAACGGAAAAAAAATAGAGAGAGAAAAATCGCATCGATAATTTGGATGCAACTTCCTTATCTGTGCATTTTGAGGTCTGCTGCCTACAGGCAGACCGCTGTCCGGTGCCCATTTGAGCTGTGAATCAAAATTTAGCGCTGTAATTTTTAGAACATTTTGTACCGAGTAATTTGGAAAGAAAAATTCAAAATATGGAAAAAGCCTAAGCCGCTAATGCATCACAGTTCGGTTTTATCTACGCCGGAAGGCTTGTAGGAAAGTTGTGGTTTTGTATTTCGCGCAAGGTGTTCTACTTTGTTAACGCAGTTTTGCTTTGTTGATCGTTATGTTTGACTGTTCCAAAATAGAGCACTTTTTTTTTCTTGGTTGCTGTTATCTGGATCATGTAAATTGTCTTAGTTGCCATCCTATGCTGTCCTTTTTTTTCCAAAAAAAGTGAAATAAGAAGTAAAAAAGGAAAGAAAGGAAAAAAAAGTAGAAAAAGACACTTTTTTTGTTCACTATCTTGGTAAATGCACTGAAAATAACTGAATTGATGAACATTTTTCTCCAGCAGTTTATAACATGTAACTCCTCATTAAGGTTGGTTATTTGTCATGGCAGCGCTGATTTTTGGCATAACTGTAAATGTAGTAACACATAGTCAGCTGCAGTTTATTCACTTTTGTTTATCACTGCTGCTTTTCACTTTTTTCGTGCTGCTTTTTTTTATTATTTTGTATATGTTAATTTACTCATTTACATTATATTTATGTACTTACCTGTAAAAGTATATGAGAATTTCTTCAGGTGTTCAAGATACTGGCGACGTCAGTGTTGAAGTGCATTTCACTAAATGGACTTTTTTAGTAATGATTATTGTTTTTGTTGTCAAATTTACTTTTCTTTTTTTCTTTTATTTTGTGTTTTATTTTTGTGTGCATCTTGTTTGCCACAACAATAAGTATAGAAGTTAGGTGAAATTTCATGGTGTTTTTTGCAAAATGATAATAATACAGTCTTAAGTTTTTCTTTTTTTTTTTTTTGTTTGAAATACCATTTCTCTTCACCCAAAGCTGCATCTTCTTATTCTCCTTGACTTTTTCTCTTGTGGCTTTCGCTTTTAGGGTGACAGGTGTTCCATCAGTACTGTTACAAGAACAGCAGCTTTGGTTTCTAATCGCATGAGCTAGGTGATGGTTATGCTTTGAAACTTTTTTTTGCTCGTGAATGGTAAGGCCTTTTTTGGCGCTCTTCAGCAACTTGTAAAGTGCAGTTGAAGAAGTTAGTATTGTTTTTATATTTTTTTTCCTTTGATTTAAAAGGTTTTTTTTAAAGCGGGAACAGTAATATCTGCGTTGATAAAATATTTTTGTGCTCATTTTAAGCATTAATTGGTAGGCTAATTGGAACAGAGAGTATTAAAAGTTTTTTGGCTTGTTAACTGGGTTTTCTCGTAGTGAAAAAATTTTGTTATAACATATTACAGTTCATTAATAATGTTACTTCAGTTGATATAATGTAATTTTCTTTGTTCTTTTAATTTTTTTCTCTTCGTACTCATAAAATTTAATTCCTTATTTATTTTGTTCTTTCTTGGGGTTTTTTTCGTAAAACAAATAAGTATTTAGATAGTTACATTTTCCTAGCATTTGTCGTCCGTTGTCATTGAAGTTAGACGATCTCACGTCATTGTGAATGAACACTTAATGGATTGATAAGTTCCTGTGTTTTGTAGCGTTTTGGCTTATTCTTAAAATTTTTCTTTTTTTTTTTTTTTCTGAGTCATTTAAAAAATTTGTATCATTTTTGTATGAATTTTCTTCTGTGCTGTTTCCTGATAAATGCAGTTCTTTTTTTTTTTCAGAAATTTTGCAGTTGCCATTTCAGGAACTTTACACTGGTTACCTTTGCTGTTCGGCTAGTCGACCACTGTCGGTGTTTTTCTTTAATACATATCACCGAGGATGGCTACGGATATTCAGGTAAGTTTTTATTTTTTAATCTTTCTTGCACTATTTAATCAAAGTTTTTTCCTCCTACTGCAACCAGTTTCTCTTGTGTTTGTCAAAAATTAAATTTGTTTAGATATTTGAACAAATGTTTTTGAGATTGGAAGTTTTTTGCTTTAGAATATTCCGAGAGCATTTGCTTTAGGTGTTAGATAACCTGTGTAAAATGCTATACTCAACCTCTGATGGCACAAACCGATTACAAGCAGAGCGGAACCTAGCAGAATTGGCTGCGTCTCCTGAATGCTTGCAGACTTGTACTTTACTTTTGCAAAATGGAACAGTTCGTTTTCGTTGTAAAATATTCTGTAACAGTTTAATGTGTGTTTTGCGAGATATTTCGCTTATGGTTCTTCAAGCAGTCATTGCAATACTGTTTCATTTAATAATCTTGCTTATCCCTCCTTTTTTTAAAAAATTTGAATTTTTATTTATCTAAAATTAGCAAAAATTTCTTTGTTTTAAAACTTCTTGTGAAAATGAAAGTTTTACGACTTGTTGTATTTAGGAGGTAGTAAACAATGATTCCTTGAAGTCCATATTTTAGGTGGATTGAAAATTAAGTGAAATTTTATGTCTATGATAATAGAATGTTTTTCTAGTTGTGTTTCATTCACAGATTTAAATTAATCGTTAATTACCAGGTACCTTACGCACAGTTGGTTGCCAGTAGTACTCTTATGAAGGTTTTGGGGTCTAATACTGTTGTTGCATTACATCAGCGGCTTGAATTATGTGAGTGGTTTTAGTTTATTCTTCTGTTGCGATTTTGATTACTGGCAATGTCAGTCACATATTCTCACTAGTAATGCCTTTCAAAAATTGTTTGGTAAAGATAATTTTAGGTTTTTTTAAACCGTAATCTCTTAGTTGTTGATTTAAAAAACTGATGAGTATTGTTTACTTTATTGAAGCACTTATCAAAGTTTCTTTAGCTTTTTGAAATGAAAAGTTTTTTTCTGTTTAGGCACTTATCTCTTGAACTACTTGGGTGAACGCCATAGTTCGTTGCCTCAATTTGTTATATCCCAATTATGCCAGTTGTTCGCACGATTGACGAAACTGGGTTGGAGTGATTTCGTTGTCGAAACACGTGCATTCCCTTTTCGAGATCCTGTGCATAATATACTGCAGCTTGCCCAGGTATTTTTTTATCTGACTTGCTGCTTCTCTTTGTCATTCACAGTCTTCTAAAACTTTTTTCAAGCGTAGTGATCAAAAATTTTTTTTCAGGAAAGTCCAGAGAAAGAGGGTATTTTGGCGGTACAGTTACTTGCACATTTAGTTGCTGATATGAATATAGTATGTTTTCAATTCCTTTTGTGTAAAACCATATTCTTTTAATTGTTCCCTATTATGAATTATGCTTTTACGTTTGCAAGAGACCCGACTAATTTTTTTGCGCGTTCTGTAATTGTTGGCATAATCAAATGAGTATTCATTTATCTTTTCCAGATTTTTCAATAACTGGTTTTAAATATCTTTGTAAGATAAATTGCAGACAGCTGGCATGGATTCGGTGAGCAAGCAGAGAAAGACTGCTTCCAATTTTCGGGATTCTTTTCTTTTAATTTTTTTCAAGCTTGCAATCTCGATGTTGGAAAAAATTTTGGATAATGACTCAAGCAATATTACTGCAAAGGTTTTTTTTACGATTTTAAGATAACCACTTAGTTTCAAGAAGGATTGTAGCTGTCGAGGGAATATTAGGATGAGATTACACACCAATATTTAGAGGCCTTTTTGAAACTAAGTGTAAATTGAACATCTTTTTCCTACTTTGTCCACATTTTTCAATAAAAATTGAGCTGAAGCATGAAAGAAACTTCTTGCAAATTGGATCATCTATATTTTTTTCAGACAGAGGTAATAAGCTGTCTTCTTCAATTATCGCTTAACTGCCTAACTTTCGATTTTGTTGGCAGTATGATTGATGAGACAGGGGACGATAGCGTTACTGTACAAGTACCTACTGTTTGGCGAATTGGTAATCAATTTATTTATACATTTTATAGTTTTTAAAGAACCATTATTTTACTGTTGAGATAACAAAAGTGAAACTTATTGTTGTTTTATATTATATTTGTCTAATGGCAGAATTTTTACATTAAAATAGTCAAACAGTAGCTGTTTTGTACTCTTTTTAGCACTTACGGACTGCAAGGTTGTCGATATGTTTTTCCGCCTTTTTAAAGTTCTACCTATCGAGTTAACCTCTCGAGTGCTCTTAAATCTTGTTCAGCTTGCTTCCGTTCGTCGTTCTTTGTTTTCTTCTGGTGAGCGTCAGACCTTTTTGAGTGAGCTGGTTAGGGGTGTCAAGGGTATAATGGAAAGTCCGGAAAAGCTGAGACAGCAGGCAAGTTTTTAGTAACAGTCTTATTAATTTTTGTTAATAGTTGGGGCTACTCATAGAGTTTTTATACTGGCTGCTCCTCTTACAAAATAAGTTTTAGAAACTGTGTACTCAAAGTTATTAAAGTTGGTTTTAAATAGAGTAAAGTAAAGGTAGAAATTTTTTTCTTTTAAATTAACCACTAAATTAAATTTATGAGGAGTAGAGCCCGGAATTTTTCATTATTAAATCGTAGTTTATCAGCATTAGTTCTTTCAAAGTTGCAATTTTTTATTGACTTTTTGGTCGTTTCTGCTCGTATTCTTACTTCAGTGATTTTTGAAATGGACAATATTGCCCTTCTGAGGGCAATATGGGTTTTAGAGGGGTGAGGGAAATTTTGGTATCGCAAAATAAGCGATGAAAAGTGCCATAAAGAAGGACCGTGAAGGCTTTGGATGATGGTTTAAAGCCCAAGGTTTAAGATTACTTTTAAAAGCAGTAATGGGTAGTCAGAATACTTCAATAAGAGTTACTGAGACTGTGCAAGAAATAAGGGTGAGGAATTTTGATAACAGCAAATTGTTGGGTGCGTAGCTCCCTTATATCCATGGTTCATTAAAATTGAAAGGGAACCAGGAAGTAGGCACTGACGGCTGTCGAAGGAGAGGTGACGCAATCTTGGTAGAAGGCGGTAGTTTGAGTAAGATTGCAATGACTGAAGGGGCATTCGTTTTTGTGGTTGCTACTGGATTGTTATTTTTGGTTGTTTTGGAATTTGTGTTTCAAATTTTCTTCTTGGCAACAGGTTTTGTGATGTGATCGTAGGAGTCGGTTTGGAAGCAACTTTGATTTCTAAGCTTTTAAAAAGGGGACAGATCTTTGCAGTACTTCAGCGTTCTTGAGTTAATTAGAATTGCTTCGATTTTTCGATATTTTGAATATTCAAAAGAACCTTTATTTTTAGCGGAACTGTTTAAAATAACTTGAGTACTACAGAAACATTTTCCACCTTGAGGCTGGTACAGTGCTCTGATGAATGTTTGGTATGCAATGATTGCAGGGAACGAGAAAGTAGACAGAAATATTTTGGATCCATTTTCTGGTTAAATGAAATTTGAGGTCTGAACATATTGTATTGCTATTGCTTTTACAGGAAAGTTTTCATGAGTTCTGTCGGTTGGTTTCTCGACTGAAAATTAATTACCAACTTTCTGAGCTCTTGAAAGTTGACGACTATTCAGTAATGATAACCATGCTTGCCGATTTCACAGAACAGAGCTTAAGGGTCTGTTTTTGAATAATTTTAGTTAATCTCAGCTATATTAGGCTAAACTGCTGAGGGTACTGTTTTTTCAATTAGTGCTATAGGCAAATATAAAAATTTTATATGAGCACTCCATCGATAAAAGAATTTTTTTAGGTTTTAAATATGCTTTAATCATGAGAGTTTGTTATTTTTGGATCTCAGTTGCTTTCCGTTTAAATTTGTCTTTTCTTGTCAGTTATGGATTCCATTTCTAGGCTTACGAGTTTTCTGCGAACAGTACCTATTATTTATTGGCTTTTTGGCAGAAAATGGTATCATCAATGCCATATGTGAAGGGAACTGATCCCCACATGCTAGACTTGTGTTGCCCTAAAATTACTAGAGCCTTTGTTGAGAGCCGCTTATTGTTCGCCCGAGCGGTAGTCCGGTTGGTATTTTGTTTGTATCTGCTGAAGTAATCAAAAGCTGACGGTTTTTCTTTGAACCTTTCTACTTGTCGTTTTTTATAGGTTTCAGTTTACTGTAAATATTTTTTTAGGGGAGACATAAGCGAAGACCCCCTGGAAGATCAGGGCGCTCTTCATCAAGTTCTAGAACAGTTTGCCATTATCTGTCGCTGTGATTACGATGAGACTGCGAAGCTTCTTTTGGATCATTTTGATCGTGCTTTTAATAATTTGAAAGGAATTACTGTGCCAACGGTTAGTGGGTAATTTGTTTTTGGGTTGAAGCTGTTTCCTCTAAGCTTTCTTGATTTCTGTTCATTTGTAGAGCTCTGGACTCAACGAAGCTATCGCTGAAATGACGTGGCTACTGTTCTTGATCGGAGGAGCAATTCAAGGTCGCCAAGCGTTTAGCGTTTTTGATGACCATGACTTAATTGACGGGAATTTTTTGTGCAGGTCAGTAATTTTATCACCTCTTCATAATTTTGGTGTTTCTGTCGCAAGTTTTGCTTTGTAGAAGAATATTGCCCTTTTTCAGGTTGTTTGCTGGTGCTGAGCTATTTTTTTCTTGATTAAGTGAAGTCTTTCTTTGTGTAATTTTTTAAATCATAATTTACTTCTTTGTTTTAAGAGAGGGCGCTGCGGCTGGAGAGTGTTTAACTGTTTTATTAGAAGCAGAGTTTATGTATGTGGACATACGTTTTCTGACCTTTGTACATTTAGACAGCATTTTTTGAATCGCATCTTAAATGTTGTTTTTTTTTTTTTGTTAAATGCTGTTTTTGAAGTAGATTTGTGAGGAAATAAATTGCGAGATTAAAAAAAGGTTGGAAGTTGGAACGAAGAGAAATTAAAGACAGAAAACAAGGTGGGGATTACTGCGTTGTAGACTAGGGCGGAATGATTGTTGCTTTCTTTATTTACGGAAACTTGGTTTTCATTTTTGCTAATTTAATTACTTGAGGTCATGAGGATATTCCTGTTCAATAGTCAGAAGCAGGTACGATTGTTCTGCGTTGTTTTGATTCAGGATTCTGAAACATAGATCAATAGAATTTGACTGATAATCACGCGTAGTTTTTATTTTTAGTTACTTGATCTGGTCCCACTTCTAAACACTTGTAAATAAGAACGCCAATTCCTTATTAATGTAATAGTTGTCTAGAATACTACTACTTTGTCGGGCAGTGTGTTGCGGGGGAGATTTTCAAAAGCTAATTTCCAATAGTTTGTCAATTACTAAATAATTTAGTTTGGTTGTAGAGCTTTGAAAGCTTTGGAAGTTTCCGACGAGCGTTTGGCAACTGGCGTCCCAGGCAACCTACATCTGGAGGAAAGCTTCTTATATGTGTTAGAGCAGTTCAGGAGAACTTATGTGTGCGAACATATTCAGAAAATAAACGTCGTGTATGATGTTCTGGAAAAGAATCTTGGTCTACAAGATGAAAATGCGTTGCTGACAATTTTTGTTCGCAAAATGTACAGCTTTGGAAGCTTCTGTAGAATTAAGACTCTTGATACATATTAAGCTAATATCCTTGGCTGCTCGAAAAAAAGGGTTTTTTTCATTTTCTCTATGTAGTTAGTGAAAGATTACCTTTGCTGCTTCAAAAATAAAATTTATTTTAGAATTACCAATCTCAAATTCTGGTGGAGAGAAGAGCGTTTGATTGATGCAACGCTTGCTTTGCTTAATGAGTTGTCACTCGGCTACTCGGCAGCAAGGCGTATTATTCGACTTCAAGATATCCAGTTGCTACTTAATAACCATACGGTAATAGATTTTTACATTTTTGTCACTAGCCAAATTTCTAGTAGTTAAGAGCAGAACTTTACTACAATAGTTTTTTCTAGGATTTATTTCTGTCGTGACTCAGTAACTGTTTATTGACATATACATTAGTAATTACTGACATATTTTGCCTGACATAACTTTGAGAACGGTTAACGGAGAAGAAAATTTTTGGTAGTGAGCCATTGGTTTGTTTGCAAAAAGATTTCATACGAATTTAGCAAGTTATGTCAAGTTCTTATGACAGGGTGAATATTTCGAATTCCTATCCTCTATCGCAGATCTTAGTGCAATGCGTTCGAGAACCACATTTTATGTGTCTATTATGCGTCTTATGTGTGTGGATTTTAATGATGACGAATCTACTTTCTTATCTTTTATGCAACCTTTATCTGGTTGGTAACAATTTTTGCTTGCTTTACAATTGTATCTTACAGCTTTTTTATTTTCAATGTTTGATTTTTTTTATTTTTAAGATAACGTACAGCAAATCTGTGACGTCTTCGCCATGAGCTCGCCAACTGTTGACCAGGAGCAAGTGAAGGTTTGTTTTTTGTCTATTG